CACACCCCCTCATGGGGCTGTGGGCCAATGGGAGCCCTCCACAGCGCCCCACCCACCAATCAGGGGAGAGCAGGCTGTTTGCCCCTCCCCCGGCTCCTGGGGTGGGGGTCGTGTGCGGAGCAGGGGGGGCCGGGCGGAGGGCGCCTGGCTCACCCTTTCCCTCTCTCTCCTGTGCCCAGGGCGTGAGGCTGGGAGACGGGGGCTGCCATGGGCGTGCAGGACCGGCCCCAGTGCTTCTTCGACATCGAAATCAACCGGGAGCCAGGTAAGAGCGGGGGCATCCTCCCGCCCCTCTGCCCTGCCTGCGGGCAGACAGCTCGCCCTTCGAGCGGGGGAAACACTCGCATTTTGGGACTCGACGGCGCGATCGAGCTGCGCAGGCCGTGTCGTTTTGCAGAGAGGTCGATTGGCGTGGGGCGGTTTGGATGTAGCAGGGGGGTAATCCTGCCCCAGCCTGGGCTTGGATTAGATGTGGTCCCTGGAGGGCCCTTCCAGCCCTTCTCCCCGATTCTGTAATTTAATATGCCTTGAAGAGCAGGAGTCCTGGGTGGCTTCCTAAAGGTGGTTTGGCTTGTGTCTCATTCCGGCGCCCGCAAACCGCCCAAAAATGAAGAAAACTGGGGAGAAAATTACAGCTGTGCAGTTTATAAGCTCCTAAAGCGCATTTACTGCTCTCCTTAATGCCGGTTGTGGACGGACTAGGTGGCCTAATTGTTTTCTTTCATCCCTAGCTCTTGGTTTTCATCATCGTTGTTTCTGGCTCAGATCAAGTGTTAACCTGCCCTTCGTAGGCAATCTAAGTTTTCGTCCTAGCCTGGCGGTTTTGTGGGTATAGTCTTCGTTCTATCTCTTCCCCCTTTGCTAAAGGGCGGTATTTAATCTTTATGATGACAGCTCTTATAGGCATTGAAAAACACACAATTTTAGCTATTAGTGCCTTCCTGTACACCCCTACTGAAATAAAAATTCTTTAGGCTTTCAGTTTGACTTTTCTGTGATTTCCTGAAAGCTTTTAACTTCAAAATAATGGCTTGGATCTGTTCCTCCACCCCCACCCCCCCCTTTACTTCTATATACAGGGGCTAATTGAGGCTATGTGGGTTGCTCCCAATTTTTCCTGAAATTTTCTGGAGTAATCTCTGTATCTGCAGGAGATTGTTATAGTAAGCACAGTCAGCACCGTTCACCGAAAAAAGCACTGTTCTCTTTACTGTTGTACTGTTCCAAAAACAGGTGACGGTGCATTAAACAGAACGTCATTATTCCCACAACTTTAAATTTGCTCTTGAAATTGAACGGGGAGCGTTTGTTTATAACATCATATTTAGGAATTAGGGGTATGGGGGTGCCTGTGTGTCTCCAGTTTTTTGTCTAGTGGGTTTATAACTGAAAGAAGTGATACAGTTGCCATCCTAAAGTTTGCTTCTTCGTTCTTTGCTCTTCTTTTTGTTTCTCCCGTTCTGGAGTTGTTTATTGGATCACATTAGTTTTTGGTTTCTTTGTTCTTTTCCTGCTTTGTCTCTCCTCCTTCAGCCACATTTCTGCTTCCACTTTTATGTCCCTTGCTACCTTCCCTGCCCTTCTTATAGTCATTTGTTTTGCATCCACAGGAGGAAATAGAGTACCAAGCTGCCGCTTTCCATTCCTGGCTGGCTTCGGTTGGTAACGTTCTAAGAGAGGACAAAACCGTATCCAGCTTTGAGATCACTTCATGTTAGTGGTGCTGAGATGCAATACTTTTATATCCAGCCTTTCCCCTTAATGCAGAGCTTGGCTGTATAGAGCAGGGGTAGAGTTTTGGTCCTGTGCAGTGCTGACTTCATTCCTTCTCTAAAGTTGAATGAACCCCACAACTACACAGCAAGTTGAAACCTGGCCATATATTTATTGAAACTGATTAATGATTTACAGTTTTGGGGGGGAAAACCATGCTGACTTGCAAACATTAAGTTCAGGTCTTGTAATGATGTGGTTCTCTCCCTTGGTGTATAATTATCCTCCTGAGTTTGCCATAAAATTGTGCTTTGAATCCAAGCTTTCATTCGAAATAAATAAATAAAGTTAACTCTGGAGCCCTGTTGGTTGCAAAGATAACCTACAAAGTCTGAGTCAAGTATAAGCACTACAGCAATGTGTGCACACACTGATAAACAATGTGTACTATTCTTTCTGTGTTGGTAAGATATTAATTCAGCAATCTGATAAAAGCTTAAGTGTCAAAATAACTAGTGATTATACCAATTTTTAGTATTAATATAACAATAATGTGCTTTTTCATCTTTGGGTTTAGGGAAGATGTTGGGGAAGGAAGCACTGATACATTTAGTTATCAAAGTTGCAGTAGTGGGTAGACAAACATCATCAGTTTTCTTCCTCCTATACTTATGGATTTTTAAAGTGACTTTCTCCCGGAAAATGGAGGAACTGGATATCCTCTGTAGCATCAAAAGCTTCATCTGTCTCCTGGATCTTAACATGTGTAGTTTGCTATAGCTTTGTGGTCCTGGTAGCTCCAAGATGTCTTCCACGTATCAACCAAAACAGACAGCCTTCCCCTTAACAGGCTTTACAGAGAAGTTATTCATTGCCACCACAGGTATCTGCAGCAATTCAACATATGGGAGCAGTGTAAAAGTGATTTAAAGTAGTGTTTAAAGTAGATAGAACATCTCCCAGGCCAGCCAGTATAGTATCTCTTGTAAAGGGGCAGACAGATTGGAGTGGGCTCCCCTGCCACACATTTAGATCTATAGTACAAATAATACAAGGGGCAGGAGTTGTTAATAATAATAATAACAACAACAACAACTCTTTTAGCCATTATAGCTTAATTCAGGTAATTTAATACTGATCATCATAATTTCTTTTACCAATAGGTTCTTGTATTAAACTTTTTATGGCAAGTATTTGTACTATGCTATAGATTGTATTCCAGGGCTGTCCAGCTGGCTGCCTGTGGGTCACACGTGGCTCATGACAGGTTAGCTATTGACGTGGCCCATCCAGCTATTGTTCCCCTCATTGCTTTGACTGCTGCTGGGGTCTGCAGATTCTTTCTCGCTCCTTTGGCTTCTGCTTCCTGCGCCTGCCCCAGGGGTGGTGCAACAGCTCGCAGTGCAGGGCCTCGGGATGCCTCTGCAGTGCAGCAGGGGAGCTTCTGTCTAGGTAGATGGGGGGTACAGTGCTGGAGTATGTGTGCAGCATGGTGCAGCTGGGGGGCACGTGTAAGAAAGGGCATCCATGCTGTGAGGGAGCTGGGGAACCTGTGGCTCATGCTGGTATAGTCCACGTGGCATGCAGCTCCTAGCTGCTTACAAGTTGGATGGCCCTGTTGTTTTTTTTTCAGCAAGCTTTGGAAACCAGTGTTTTTCACTGCAACTTGAAATTTTAATTACTGCCAGGAAGTTTGTTTTGTATTTCTTTGTCATCGTGTTTGGTGTGTCACAAAACCAATTGCAGTATAAATTGAAAGTATACCAAGAACGAGCACTTTACTTCCTAGTTATGCTACTAAAATAAAATAATACAGCTTATTTGTTCTTGGTATTCTTTTTACCTTTTTTTGTAAATCTAATGGGAAAAATACTAAATTGTACAAAACATGAAAACAGACTAGTTTACAGGACTTGTATACCCTGATAAATCTGGAAGGGTGGTATACATGCACTAAATATAATACTGTAATTTAAAAACCCAGAGGTCAGTTGTGTTTTAATGCCATAGATATCTAAAGTCTCTTCATCCTCT